GCATCTCATATGGATGCCTCATTTTATTCAATGAATGCAGTGGGTCCATATAAATATAATTATATTTTATTTTCTTAATTATAAGTATTTATTATATGATAATTTTTAATTAAGATTAATTATTTACTCGTTATTATTAATATTACCTTCTTCCTAGAATATATATCTAATTTTGACTTTTTACATTTAAATTAATAAAATTTGGTCTTTAATTAAATAAAACTTATACTCCCTCTGTCCCTAAATAAACTTCCACTTTCGTTTTTTCTTTGTCCCCAAATAAACTTCTCTTTTCCCTTAAAAACCCTCTTTTACCCCTTACTTTTTCATACCCTACCTATCACATCATACCTTTTTACTAATAATCTACCTATTACATCTTACTTTATATATCACATCAAGGGTATTTTTGGAAAGTCAACACAAAAATATCCCTCCCTTAAATCCTCAAAAAGTCAAAAATAGAACTTTATTTAGGGACGGAGGGAGTATTAGATATTGATATAAAATTAAAGTTCTTAGATTTATGTTGTAAAATATTTTAAAATGTTTTTTATGTAATTAATATATGATGTACTCCGGAGTAGTTAATATTGTTTCAAAACAAACATAAAAACAAATATCTAAGAAAATTTTCGAAATAAATAAAAAATAGTCATTCCATTAAAAAAGAGTTTGATCGAATTCTAGAACATTGCAATATCTAATTTTTTGAAGTTTCCAAATCTAATTTAATAAAAAAAACTTTCGAGCCTTCATAAAAACTACAAATGCAAACTTTTAAATTGAAAAAATAATAAATTGACACGTGGCACATATATATTGGACCACAATACTTAAAAAACAAATGCTTCAATTCTTCCATCCTCAAGCATCGGGTGCTAGGCCAAGCATCTTCCTTTCATTTTTCTATTTGAGCATCTTTATTGGGCATCTATCTACAATAGTAGCATCCATCAACATCTCACTCTCTCTCCTCCTAGCATCTCTTTTGAGCATCCCATTGGAGATGACCTTAGGATTTAATATTTAAATGGGTATAAGTCTATAAGATGATTTTGACTAACACAAGCACTTAGTCTAAATAATCTTAAACCATAGTTTTACTGCTGTTTTACTTATCTAATGATTCTTAACAAGTTGGAGTCGCCAAGTTGGCTAACACGCCACACTTAAGTCTCTCCTCTTGTGGGAGCTGGGAGGTTTTGAGTTTGAGTCACCGAGGAGGATAGTTTGGGATTTACTAACAGAGGGTGTATAACTTTAAGAATATCTCTGTGTTCGGCAGTTTTTTATTGTGCTATTCCAGTTCTATATATTGTTATTTGTATCTCTTATAAAATAAGTAACCACCTTTCTATTTAATTTGTTTTTTTATAGATAGATTTGTAGATGTTCCTCACTGTCTAATTTTTGTGCTGTTTCCATTCACGCAGGGAAGGACTAGATCAGACCCTAAGATATGGTGCAGTACAATTTTAAAAAGATCACCATTGTGCCCAACGGGAAAGACTTTGTGGATATCATTCTCTCACGCACACAAAGGCAGACACCCACTGTTGTTCACAAGGGTTATGCAATATCCCGTATCCGTCAGTTTTATATGCGCAAAGTGAAATATACTCAAACAAATTTCCACGAAAAGCTTTCTACCATTATCGATGAGTTCCCAAGGCTTGATGATATCCACCCTTTTTATGGGGATCTGCTTCATGTCCTCTATAACAAAGACCATTACAAGCTTGCCCTTGGGCAAATAAACACTGCAAGGAATTTGATTT